AAAGGCAGGAAAATGGAGTTGAGGATTATCATATCAGTCATGATCTCATTATATGGCCAAGCAGACTTGAGGTCTGAATAGCCTACATCTCATGATCCAACTGCTGTGTGGTCTCTTTAATTCCTCAGTTTTTAAAAAAAAACTCGCGAGGATGGCCTAACTCATTGATATTGGAGGTCTGACTGTTGTCTTGAAAAATCCAGCAAAAAAAAAAGGCACTCTTCTTAAAAACTCCGTGGATTCAATAGTTTCATTCCCCCACCCCAGCTCTTTCCATGATAACAGACAGGCATCCCTGGCAGAGCTCCTGCATTCACTTTGGAACTGCAGGTTCATAAAATCAAGATCCAGGTCATGAATAGTTATGATCAATTTTGCAAATTGATTTGTCTACAAACTTTTAATGCAATCTCCCACAGCCATAGCTACTTTCCCAGAGAAGAAATTACATTCGCAAAAGGGAAGCAGATCAATCTTGCTTGTACCTATGGTAAAATATTCCAAGTGCATAAAACAGAAAGAGATGGAGATTTACTGGAACGATATCAGAGATGCAGGACTTCAATTTATGTGGATAGGCTAAATAGGCTAAGACTCCTTTCATTAAACTAAGGGTGGTTAAGGGAGATGTGATTGATCTGTTCAAAATACTGAAACGTTTCTACAGATGAAATACATCGAAACATTGCACCAGAGAGCTCAGATTTAAGACAATGTACAGAAGAACCAAAATTAGACGATTTTGAAAGCAATAAGTTATGATGCTTTAAGTTCCTTATATTTACTTCTCCTGTACTTTCTGTTGATTCAATTTCAAAGTTCCCACTTAATTGCATTTCCTTTTAGTGTTCATGCTTCATCCCTTATCAGTCTTTATTTAAAAGATTTCCTATCCAAAGTCTCTATTTCCTTAGGAACAAAATGCAAACAAAAGTTCTGTGATATTGAATTCCTAAGGGCAGCATTGGTAAGAAGGCATTCTTGCTACTTCATGAGTTGAACTAAACTCTGCCAGGCCAACAGCATTCTATTAAAATGCTCTGCTGTGACATGCACTGGATACCAACAATACTTAATTGAAAAAAAAAATGCAAGAAACATATTCGACATGCATAGGAATTCCTCTGCTTACTTCATGTTCCAGAAATCATAATATTTTTAAATGATCACAGATTTCAGCAAACACTAGTACACATCAACTTGCTTCGCAGGAATAGATAGTTCTCTCCCACCAAACTAAAAAAAAATTCTAGGTAAACAGGCAGTGCAGCATTCAACCATCAAGGCGACCATATTAAAACAAAATCAAAGCAGAGTTGAGATAAAGATCAGGTTACTAAGGGCCAAGTAAGTGAATACTTGAGTAGCTGTTTACTAAAGATCGCCATTTTTGACGTTTAATGGATGATTGCAATATCAATTAATTAGAGATAACAATAATGAGGGCTTGTGGAAAAACTACTAAAATGTATGAATCAATGGAAAAAGATAAATAAGAGAGAATGTCAATAACTTTAAAAACATAGATTTTCTGCTTAATAGCTCTGTGGCACAGATCTTAAGATCACATGGGACCCTGCCAATATATGTTTAGGGCATTCTAACAAACTAGAGTGTAAGATCAGTACTAAGAAACATGCTATTGTATAACTAGCAACACAGATATGTAAAAGAATTAAATGGATATCTAAAGAAGTTGTAAATAAAAAAAGTCTGATTTTTAATTGGCTCAAGAGGTTAGGTCACTTCCCAGAAGCCTAGTTGACAAGCAGTTGATTCTTCATCCTGGGAAAGAGGGAGGGAGGGAGGGAACTGGAGGAACAACATTTTCGTCTGGAATTCTGAAATCCACATGTAGAGCAATTTCCTGCATTCTATTTTTAGCTTCATTTACATTGTTCCAGTGCACAAAACACAACACAATTACATTTCAATTTATTCACTAATTATTGTTTTATGGGGTCAACAGAAGCACTTTCAGGGAGAATTTAACGGAGCAGGCATTATAGCAGGAATGCCCACATCATATTGCTGGTGTTGAGAAAACTAGTCACAATTAAGCTGAGGTAGGAAAGGCCTAACACTGGAATCACATTTTGTAGCTATGGGATATCAATTAGGTTCACTAACTCCTTGAGAGCAATATTCTGACCTTAACCAAATTTAATTGGCACCTTGGGGATTTAATGGAACATACTTATCTCTCCTGTACCACCCGAAGGCCATCTACATACAGTATTGGCTTTGCTCAAGATCTCATAGGGCTTTCACTCATTAAGAGGCACTCAGTTCTGACTGTGGGGAACAGCTCTGGGAAGAGTGTAGTGCAGGAGTGAAGGCCGCTGAAAACCAGCCCTATGCTCTTACTTCCACCATCCTGCCCTCCCCTTCCTCATAACATGATGCTCCATCCTCCCCCATTCAACTGTGTCCATTAATCCAGGAGTAACCTTGGGGCTGGTTCATAGTGCATAGGGAATTCTGCCCCACTGGTGTCTCCATTTAAGTAGGAGATCCTATTCTGGTCAGTTAAGTGCCTGTGAGTACCTAAATCCCACTGAAGAAATGAACTAGGTCTTAAAACCTAGTGGGAATGTTGCTAGCACTAAATCCTGGCCACTATCTCCAGGTGCCAAAGTGTGGTGACACTTTGAGTATAACACACAAAAAAATACTTTTCACTGCATTTTTGTACACGTGACAACAAAATTTAAATCTAAAAAAATCTCAAAATCTTGTTAATTTTGCTCTTTTTATTTTGTCTCATAGTTTCCCACAGCTTTGCTTCTTTTCGCACGAAAGTATAAAGTGGCATTTTCTTGACTAAATAACACTTCAGCCAACTTCTCCGGTCTCATCTCTTCGCTACTTACACTCTTCCTTGATAGGTTTTAATGATACATGAGAACAAGTTATAACATGGTCAACATCCCCAAACATGTTTTACACATTGGTCACCCATTCCTTCCATGTGATGGATCAATTCATGGATTTTTGACAACCTAGTATTTTCTCCAGATGATTCAAACTCACTCTCCACACTGGAGAGACCAAACAGAGATTCAGATGACAATTTTTTTGAACTATATTTATTCTGCCCTTAATTGCAACTCAAGCTTTCCTCTGGGACTATTTTTGTCAGCATGGCTGAGACAAATGCAATAGTTTTAATCATAATGGAACAATGCTGCCACAAGTCGAAATAATATTTGATGAACCAGTTGAAACAAAGCATGCATGCACTGCTGGCAGACTTCACATAGAAAAGAGGAGTGGGCCATTTGGTCCTTCAAGCATGTTCTGCCTTTAATACAATCATGGTGGATCATCTAACTCAGTCCTCTATAGCCACTTTTGCTCCCTCCCTTTGATCAGTTTAGCCACATGAACTTTAACTTTTTCTTGAAACTCCTCCTTCAAAGTGAAGGTTCATTCTGAGTCTGGAAACACGAAAAACATGTTTCTTTGAAGGTAAGAGTTCAAACTGCAACTAGAATTATTTAGATCAACAACATTAAAATAATTCAGGGCTGCAAAAAGCTACACAATGGGCTCAAGATGGGCACTTGAGATACCATTGGAATCACAGATGTCTTCGATCACAGTGCTGTGACAACTGAATCTACTTCCAGCAACCAAATCATCAGATAGATTGTAATTTGTGAACCAACTGGAGAGATTTCCTTTAATTGGCCATACATCTATTGTCATTAGATTTTGTAATTTGGTTCCCTCCTCTACCCTCTTTCTCCAGCACTTGTTATTATTGCACACTCTCTGGTGGGTAATGATCAACAACTTTTTTCTTTTAATTAGTAACACATATGATTTGTAAAAGAAAATGTCCAGATATGTCTAATAGCATCACTGTGCAGAAAGAAAAATACATTAGATTTAACAGCCAAGAGGAGGGGAGAAAAAGAGGTGATAGGGCCCTCTTGTGGTGCAGTGGCACTGTTCCTATCCCTGGATTAACAGGCCCAGGCTCAAATCCCACTAGATCTAAAGGGGTGTAAAAACACCTCTGAACAGGTTGATGAGAAAAAAGTAGGAAAAAAGAGGTGAAGAAGAGATATAGTTCAAAGATGACCTAGAGATCAACTAGAAAGGCAGAGGCAAAATCTTTTCTAGCCCCTAATTTATAAATGAGAATCAAACTTTCTGTCCTGTTAGATTATCAGCCGATTTCACAAGTAGAATTTAGTTATTTGTTTGGAATTTCTAATAATTTCGTTTTGTACTCTTTTACAGCAAGGTGAAGATAAACAGGGTAAGGGAGAAAAAAAAATTACGAGCAAAAAACCTTTATTTCTTGTTGGGTTTAACTTTGGCAAAAATTGCCTGACTTCACTGTTCCAGACTGAAACAGAAATTGAAGGATACAATGAGCAGAGAGGAATATCGGTGTTTGCTGTATAAATCTCAGAAAAACAGATCTATTAACTTGACCAGTGAAAATATCAACTGTAGTTCCAAACTCCTTGACAGTTCCTGACTTCAAAAATCAATGACTTCAAGTAATAGTAATCTAGATGTCTCCAAATGAATACTTACACAATTGCATTAAACTGGCTCAAAGTTTCATTTGTTGTTGACTTCTACAATTCAGTAGCTTGCTACACTGTTTGAGCAAATCACAGGCACAATCTTAGAAGTGTTACAACGCAGAAGGAGCCCATCGTGCCTACACCAGCTCGTTAAATATGCATTATTACGTAGTATTAATCTCCTACTTTTTCCCCATGCCCTTGCACATTATTTTTATCCAGAACAATCATCCAATGCCCTCTTGAATGTCTCAACTGAACAATGTTTACACAAGTATGGAGAAGTTTGTTAATATTTAACCTTGCTGATGAACTACAGTAGTGACTTTGGTCATTTGTAGTCTATTTGTTTAGAACCCTTTTGGGCAATGTATTGAAAGACATTTCATATATCAAGTTGTAAAGAAAATATCTTGGGTGGAATTCTTGCTTTCCAAGAGAAGTAATATTTACCATTATCTGATTCTTCACTGTGAATAAGAGAGGTAGAGTGTTTTTCTATTCCAGCAACAAACACATCTCTCTGCTTTCGAGCCTCACTGCAAGTTTGATCTGGGTGCCAAAGTTGTTTGCAGTGGTAACAGAATTCTGTCGCACACCCTGACCGCTCACATGTCAGCTTTGGGCAAGTTGCACAGCCACTGGCGATTACTCCATAACTGTAAAGACAGATTCCAAGTTCACAAAACATCAACAGTATTTTAAGAGACCACAATACTCACGCAGCAGTAATAAGACACCTGTAACATGTTATCATTCGACATTTTAATATATAAAAAACAGAAGCATTACACAAATTAGTAAACTGCAGCATCTCAATCAAGGTGTAGTTATGCAAAGAGTCAGTCCCACCCACAAAACTAGGTCTGAAACATTTAATTCTTGTACACTTAATTACTTAGAAGCCAGTATTGCTGGAATGGAGCTTTAAAAGGTGCCTGAACAGGAAGTTCCTGTAAAATACTGTCAGATATTAATTGTTAACTCAAGACATTTCTTAGAAAAAAAAAATTAGTTTTGCAACATACGTCACTATCAGAGAGTTTACTGCATCTCAATACATTGAACTGGCCTGAACAGAATGCAGGCAATCACAATTGCTACATTCAAATTCTACACACATTAAAAAAAAGTCCAATGGATCTTTACTTCCAAAAAGTCAAGTTTGCTAACAGTTACCAATAAAACTTGAATGTTATGCATTCTGGAACATGCTACGAACAATAACAGAAGCAGATGGGTATTTGGGCAAAAAAAAAAATTGCAGGGCTGCTGGGATAGAGCAAGGGAATGGAACAACTAGATTGCTCGATAAAAAAAAATTATTAGTTCAACGGACCAAATGGTATCATTCCGTGCTGTCTTTATTCTATTGTTAAAGTTCTGTCCAAAACATACTTCCTCCAAAAGTCTTTTTACCATAGAATGGAAAATTGGAAAAAGTCAGTTCCATCAATAACTTTCCCACCTCCACAACCATGATTCAGAGCCTTTCCCTAGAAATAAGGTAAAATTGGGCATATTTAGCCAGTATCACAAATACCAATTCCCAGCAGTAAGATTAAATCTGTAACAGATGGTCCAGGTATCTGTACCACACTTTGCCAGGTTTCAAAAATATTAAACAGCTATCACTGAATGCTGGACGACTCGGCACATTAAACAGTTATGTCCAATTTAAATTGCCAATTTCCTTGACAGACCCAGTATTTAGCAGTCTACTACATATTACAATAAATGTAGAAATACCAGCTGAATCACCATCATGCTGACCACCCAAATTATGCCAAAATGATACATTTGACATCATTTGAAGATAAAAACACAAAATTATTCAAAAGCTCAGTATTCAAACAAGTTAAATAAATCAGACTCTCAGCATTTTAATAAATGGAGAATACTATAGATGAACAATTCACTTCTGACAGCAAACAATCTTTGAGCCAAGCTCCAAAGAGAATCACACCAAATTTAAGTTCATGAATATAGCAGAAGCAAGGAGGTCCACATTGCCAATTATAAAATATTCTGTTTCAATAAAAAGGTTTGCAAAAACCCCTTGCAAATTCTCTTAAGGTGTAAATACATTGGAACATTTTACATAAGGCCTAGACTTTTAAAATATGACCAAGGAAAATTGTAGCATGACTCTATGCTCATGTATAAGCTGTGCCAGGCTTTATTAAATGCTATAAAGAAAAGTGAAGGGAGTACATTCAAATGTCATATGTAGCCTATCAAACCCATTCTACCATTCAGCTAGATCATGGCTATCCTTTCCCTCAAAACCATTTTCTCCACACTGCTCGAAATGGTCAGCTCAATGGTACTGATATTATGTGGACATACATTATGGGGCAAAACTAAAGAACTGATCATCGACTTCAGAAAGGAGGCGAACATGCCCCCATCTACATCAACGGAACTGAGGTCGAGAGGGTGAAGAGCATCATGTTCCTTGGAGTGACGATAACCGATGGCCTGTCCTGTGCTTCCCACGTAGATGCGACATTCAAGAAGGCACAACACCTCTTCTTCCACAGGTGGCTCAGGAAATTTGGCATGTCCATAAGGTCCCTCACCAACTTCTACAGATGCACCTTTGAAAGCACACTGGTCGGGTGCATAATGGCCTGGTATGGCAACAGCTCTGCCCAAGACAGTGAAACTACAGAAAGTTGTGCGCACAGCCCAGACCATCATGGAAGCCAACCTTCCAGCCATGGATTCTTTATATGGCTCGCTGCCATGGAAAGGTAGCCAACACAATCAAAGACACATTGCACTCTGGTAATGACCTCCTACAACCTCTTCCGTCAGGCAGGAGATACAGAAGCCTTAACACGCGCACGCAGGTTCAGGAACAGCTTCCTTATGGCCGTCATCAGACTGCTGAATGGACTCAAACCTCAGATAATGTAACCTGTATGCCTCTAAAGTCTTTCTGATCTTTACATCCTTTGCTTGCTGTGATCTGCCTATACTGCTGGTAAGCAAAGCTTTTCACTGTATTTCGGCACACGTGACAATAAGATCAATCAAACAAATCAGTCCAAAATTGAGGGGTGTGGAGAAAAAAAAACTGCATTATGATCCCCTATGGTGAGACTCAATGATTTTTCTTCTTTGCTATTTGTCCTCTTCATGACAGCCTGAAGCCCCAGGTACACTTGTCACAGTTCTACTCATTTCACCTACAGCATACATTATCAAAAGTTGCTTTCTTCTAGCTATCCAATGCCAGTAGAAGCTGGCTTGAGGGAGAATGTCTGGCTTAAGCCCGAGTCACAGGCTGACTCTGACGGGAGTTAACGTATTGCATCTTCAGAGAGATGTCAAACATGAACTTAATGTGAAAATAAACTGGACATACTATAGATTAAACTGAACTCTCTAGTATTAGGGAGAAGGGGTTGGCTGGGCCCTTAGGGTGGAGATGATGAGATTTTTTTCACTCAAACAGCAATCTTTGGAAATCTTCACCTCAGAGAAGTGGGAGATACTTAGTTGATGAGCAGATCCAAGACTAAGGAAAAAAGCTTTTTTGATATTAAAGGGAATCCAGGGATGCAAGGATCAGGTGAGAAACTGGAGTGAGGTTGAAAATCAGCCATGAGTTAACCGAATTGTACAGCAATTTGAGGAGCCAACTCCTGTACATGTTTCTTGTGTTTTTTTTTTAGCTTGCATATGTATTTTCTATATTATTAGCAATGATAACCTTGGAAGGTGATGTTCTAGTGGTACTATTGCTAAAATCTTAATCCAGAGACTGGATAATGTTCTGCGGACCTGGGGTTGAATCCCACTATGGCATATAGAATACAAACATCTGGAATTAAGAATCTAATGATGACCATGGAACCTTTATCGGTTGTTGGAAATACCTATCTGGTTCACTAATGTAATTACCTGGTCCAGCCTACATGTAACTCCAGACCAACAAAGTGGGTGACTCTTAACTGCCCTCTGACCAATTAGGAATGGGCAATAAATGGTGGTCTAGTCAACAATGTCCACATGCCATGAATGAACACACAATAACTCAGCATATAGCTGGTGATAAATATCATTCACAAAAGTAGCTTACTCTTGCATCATCAATTCCACCTCCCTCATTTATACGGTAATTAGGTGGAGAAAATAAAACATACGTGCTGCAAATAAATCAAATTGATTAGTCATGCAGAACATACCTACAGTCAGGTGCAGGGCACCATCGGGCATCTGGGTCTGATGCAAGGTATCTCCTCAGCATGAACTCCTCGTACTTTTCCATCAAACTGCCATTGTTGAGAATCATACGGATGTCTGATGGATGAAATAACTCAGAACATTCTGGACAGGCAACATTGACCCGACTCTCTGTAATTTCAATCTTCAAATATTGCTGTAAGCAAGCCAGGCAAGAACGATGGTGACAAGAAGTGATCTCTGGGAACTGGGATCGAGGTTGGCTAAGAAGGCAGAGTGGGCACTCTAGAGTACCCAACAACTGTTCATTACTGGATGAGTGCGTTGTCCTGTTAGTGGAGGACATTTTCTTTTCATCTTCATTTTCAGTTTTTGCATGTATTCCCTCAACAGCAACTGTGGACATCTCCAGCTTTGATTTTGATTTAGGTTTCCTGCTGAACAGACTAAAGAATTGGAGCTGTCGATGTTTATTCGGTCTCCTCATAGTCTTGAATATATTGCAAAGTTACAACAATGATCAAGGTTACTCCTCTTAATTACTTTACAAAGTGGTTGACCACAGTCTCCGATCACTGAAAGGCAAAATCCTTATAAGGATATACTGTAAAAAGAAAATGTGGCAAGTTTCTTGATCCACTTAGGAATTCCAAGTTGTTCTAAATATAATTAGCAATACTGAAACAACTAGTGTTTTGTTCAATGGAGTTTACATGAAGTATGAATCACAACACTGATTTTTTAATGTCTGAGCACAGAACAGATTCACATAGCAAGCTGAGATATTATGTAGTCGCAGAGTTGAACAGTTGTTGGATGTTATGATGTCATCTTGCAATATTCATTGCTGTGTCCAATTTTATTAGGAAATCTAGAAAAAGTTGAAAGCAAAAAGGAGGGGAAATTAGTTGTATGAAAATTCTTGCATTTAAAACATGCTTCAATATGTTCATCTCAATATAAAGCTTATCCAAGCAGTAATGTTATAATTGTTCATCTAAAGCGAGATCACATCAGAAAGACCTTTCCACCGCTGAAAATTTTCAATTGAACCTAAACGTATTTGCAAACAAAACTCTCAATAGATTAGAACCAAGGTGTGTTAATTTGACACTTGAGTTATGAATTCTACACAAAACTGAATTCATTACAAAACCACACTTGGAAAAATTGGTCTCAAAACTAAACTCATGTACATCAGTCACTTACCAATAGTAGGAAAGTTACTCACTTCCTTATTGTTCATATTAAATGCGACTGTTGCTGCACTACCCTAATGATAAGGTTTTAAGTGTTAATTGGTTAGAAAATTGTTAAAGTCTAATTTCTTTATATATCTCCTTTCACAATGGTACCCTACAGATCTGGCCCATTTTCGTAATTAAATCGGAGTTCTGTGGTTGAGAATGCAGATGGGATTTTGTGGCACAGTGGCTGTATCCCTACCGTGAGCCAGAAGGCCTGATTTCAAATCTACCTGCTCCAGAGATGCGACACAAGTCTGAACAGCATGATTAAAACACTCACCACACACATGGTTTTGACATATATCCAAGCACAGATCCTTGCTGTACCCTACTAAGTCAGTTCCTCCCACTTTCAAAAAGACCTATTTATTCCCATTCTCTGCTTCCCATCTGTCAATCAATTCTTGAACCATGCTAATATGTCACCCTCATCCCATGTGCTTTAACTTTGCCCACTGGTCTCTTATGAGAAATCTTATGAAAAGCCGTCTGAACACTAAATACATCACATTCACTGGTTCTCCCTTGTCTGTTCTACTAGTTACATCCTCAAAAAATTCCAGTAGATTTATTAAGCATGATAGTTTTTCACAAAGCTATGCTGGCATTGTTCGATCCAGTTAATGCCTTCCAAATTGTTCTGTTATCACATCTTTTATCCTAGACTCCAGCATTTACCCCACTACGGTGTTAGACTAACTGTTCAGTAATTCTGTTTTTTGTTACCCTCCCTTTATTTAAATAATGTGGTTACATTTGCTACTGTCCAAATTTGTAGGAACTGTTTGAAAGTCTACAGAAATTTGGAAGTTGACCACCACTACATCCAATATTTCGAGGGTCACTTACTTTAGGATGCAGATTATCAGGCCCTGATGATCTGTCAGCATTTAAATCCATTAATTTCCCCATTTTCTTGCTAATATGCATTTCATTCAGTTCTGCCCTCTCACTCTATCCTTGGTTCCCTAACATTTCAGAGATGTTGCTAGTTCCCTCTTTTGTGAAGACAGAACCAAAGTATTTGTTCAATTCTTCTACCATTTCTTTGCTCCCCACTATCATTTCCCCAGCTTCTGACTGTAACGGATCTACATTTGTCGTTCTAATGTTTTCTCTTCACATATTTATAGAAGCTTGTATAATCAGCTCTGTTTCCTGCAAATTTTACTCGTACACTATTTCCCTCTCTTTATCAACCTCTTGTCCTCTTTTGCTGTATGCTCCTAGTTCTCAGACTCCAACATTTTCCTCCTGGCAACTTTGTATGTCTCCTCTTTGGATCTAATTCTATCTCTAATTTGTTTTGTAAACCATGGTTGCACAGCTTATCTGTTTCATTTTTGCATCGAACAGGAATGAATAATTATCGTTAATCGTGCGCACATTCTTTAAATATGAACCATCGCCTATCCACGATCAACCCGTTTCTTAAGGTTCCCCAATCTATCCTTGCCAATTTGTGGCTCACACCCTCACAATTCCCGTTATTTAGATTTCGTAGAATTACAGAATCCCTACCGTGGGAATGCAGGCCATTTGGCCTATCGAGTCCACATCAACCTTCCGAACAGCATCCCACCCAGACCTACACCCCAGCCCACCACCCAACCTCTGTAACCCTGCATTTCCTATGGCTAATCCTTCTAGCCTGGACCCTATGGGCAATTCAGAATGGTCAATCTGCCAAACCTGCACATATTTGGACTGTGGGAGGAAACCCAAGTAGACATGGGGACAATGCATAAACTCCACGCAGTCACCTGAGAGTGGAATCCAATCCAGGTCCCTGGCGCTGTGAGGCAGCAATGCTGACCACTGAGCCACTGTGCTGCCCTGGGACCCTAGTTTTGGATTTGACCACCTCATTTCCCATCTTAAGGAAGAAAGCTATCATATTGTAGTGGCTCTTCCAGCAATAGGATTGTTAACTAATTCTTTCTCACTGCGCAGTACCCAGTTTAGAATAGCCTATGCCTGTTCTCTGGTTGGCTCCTCAATGCAGTAGTCTAAAACTACCACATACTTGCTCCAGGAAATTCTCCTTTGCAATATTATTTCATGTTTGGTTTGGCCAATCTATATGTAAAATAAAGTATGCATCTCTGATTTATTGTTTAATACCTTCCCTGACATTTTCACCACTTTTGGGACACCTGTATACAATCCCCAGCAATGTTTTTTGCCCTTTTGTTTTTCTTGTCTCTCCCCAAACAGATTCCACATCATGATTTTCCAAGTGAATATCCTTTCCCACTAGTGCATTGGTTTAATCTTTTACCAACAATGCTACCCCATCTCCTTTCCATTTTTGTCTATGCTTCCTAAATAATGAATAGCTCTGTTACCATCCTTGATAGCCCTGCAGCCATAGCTTTTTAACCACAACTATACCATAACTTTTTATATCTATCTATGCTGTTAATTAACCTAACTTATTGTGAATACTCCTCACATTTAGACATAAAACCTTCAGGCTTATCTGTTTAACCTCGTTCATCATTTCAGCTTTATTTTGCATTATGGCCCAATTTGTTTTTTGCCCTTCCTTTTTCGCCTTCCATTTTTGCTTCTTATCTTTCTGGTTTTGATTTCTATTCTTGTTTCTTTCTGAAGTTCTTTTGCTGGGATCAGGTATTTCTTTATTTGGAACTCAGTGGATTTTTACTTTACTTACTTACTTACTGATGAGCATTGTCCAGTGAAAAGCAATCCAGAATCCCAGGCCAACCCTACTGCATTTCCTATAACGAAGCAGATTACATCAACAAACATGGGTTCATTCCCACAGTGTACAATCATCTGTGATCATTGAAACCACATTGTAGAAGTCTGCACCAGCTTCCCTAGAAGCTGCCATGACAGTTTATATCCTTGAGAACAGCATCTGTGGAGAGAAATCTGTGTTTTCTCTCCGAGTTGCTGAGTTTCTCCACTAATATCTGTTCTTGCTTGTTTCAGATCTCCAGCATCTGTAATTGTTTGTTTTATCTTATTATAGACAAGGTTATGATGTTTGGACAGTCGTTTTTTCTTTGGAAAGAGATAGTGGGTCTCAGTACAGTGTAGACAGAGTGTGCTGCATAATCCTTGCATGCTGTGCTCTGCGCAACTGGAGCACAGAAATAGGGTAGTTTTGGATGGTGAAGAACTGGGACAACTGCAGCAGTCACCAAAAGGAAGACACACACCCTGAGCAGGAGGAACATTGCCTTTGGCATAATAGAGTAATTCAGCCTCAGGCACCATAAGCCACGTTGGTCTTAAATGATACCCGTGTCCAATAATGGAGTTGGATGAAGAGATTGCTCATTAACAGCAAATTTGCTATTGCTAGAAGGGCAAGCAGCCCTTTTTTATTCCTGAAATATATGTGAAGAAAACACAACAAGAAATAAAGTTGCTATTCCTGTTGTTCACTAAAAGTTGGCGTTTTCAACTGTTTGAAGGTTTTCCAACATGTGATGGTCCCACATTCAACAAAATGTTGTGCTATGCTAGGTGTTTGAGAAGGAATATTACTGCTTCAGGTAAGATTCTAACATGGTACGGCACCAAGGATGGGAAGCCTGCCTAGCTTCATGCTTGTAGCTGCATTTTAATAATTGTCAATCAAAACAGGTGATGATACAAAATAGCAATACAATCATGAATTTGAGCTTGTATTGGAAAGGGTTCTTCGGGGCTAGTAGCAATTGATCTGGTACACAGCAGGGCTTTAAATATGGCAGCGGAAATCCTAGAAGGTCCGATAGTGATGGGTACTTTCAGTGGAGGTGAATGCAGGATAGCTTGAGTGCAGCACCAGAGAAGCATAGTGCACACAGAATGAGGCGAGTAGCAGAGAACTGCATGGGAAATTTCACTCACGATCGCAGAGAAAAACCCTCCATGAAACTCTACAAAATTGACAATTATCAGATTTTGGTAAAATTAAGCCCAAAATCTTTATAACCAAAAAAAGTGTCAATCTGGAGATAATCTGAAACTGTTTAGCTTCTTTGCATGAGAAGTACCTTGTGTTCAAAATACATTAGAAATACCAATTTACTTTGTTTCACACTGCAGAAATCCTAATTGGTTTTATAGTAGTACAATCAAAAATACCATATATATTTGATAAGATGCGCATATTGAAATACAAATACAATTATATCATCCTGACCGATCATGGAACAAAAACAGAATTAAAATGAAATTGTTATCACCTGCAGAGACAAACAGTTGCCTAGAGTATTAAACATGAATTATTTCTCTAGCAAGCCAGCAGGAGTTTAGAAAATTAAGCAAAATCAACTCCAAAAGCAAGTTGCTTTTCTGAGATATCTTACTATTTCAGAAAGTCAGACCCAAAATCAAAAACTTTGCAGATCCCTGCTAATCCCTTAAATGTAAATAATTTATAACACAATATACGTACTTACAGATGTGGACTGATGATGCCTGTCAGCCCACCATCTTAAATCCCTGATTAATTCATAGCTGTTGTTTATCCAAAGGCTTTCCTGGCAACTTAAGTTCTTTTCCACTTTCCTATTGATTACTTCTTGATTTCTGTTTGGAGAAGAGAACAGCGTATTAGAAGGAAGGCACCCAAATATTTGCTTGTCTTTAACTTCAGAAGACTGCAATTACTATAACTTGCCCAATGTTACAGTTGCCAGTGACTTTTAACATTGAAATGAACACAATGTTTTTTCTTCACTATAATCTCAGATGTTCAGACAAATTGACTTTTATGGATTGCAAAATGTTTACTTACCTGAAGCAAAACAAATCTTATTTGTTTATGATTGATAATTAGGGTCAAATTGGTCTTTCTTTAGGCAAGGTTCATATATGTTAGTGGTTTCATTGTAACATTGAAATGATTACCTGAATCCAAGAAAATCATGTTTAGTACACCTGTTAGGAATGGGTACTAGTGAACAACTAGAACAATGTAATTCTACTGTAAGTACCTCCATCTAGAAAACCTTAAGTACTACAAGATCATGCTCCTCAGATATTTGAACATGGATTGTTCTAAGGCAAAAAACGTGTCTGGATAAAAACTAAGACAGAGTTGCAATCTGCTTTCAATTTAACATTTCTCCAAAAAGGATGCCGAGTGAGGAATTGATTTCCTTGACGTAATCACAAAGAATAATACACCACATAGTTGGTTCTAAAATGATCAACTGTTTAAAATTTTACAATGTCTCAGAAGTAACTTTAGAAATCTCAAACTAATTTAATCAAAATCTATAGATTGCATAGTATATAAAGAAACTAATCACAAATTATAAGAATTGAACAGTTTAAAAATGTATACTCTCCCATTAAACTGGAAAAGACTGAAATTCTAAGAAGTCATAATGAAATCACAGGGCAGACAGTGGAAAGACTGATATCTTTTGACTGGAGGGCCAACTAGAATACCTCCTCCACTACCTCCCCCAAGAAAAGTGGTTACCTATTAACTGGTCATAAAACAAACTTCCTTCACAAGTCAGAATCAGAATGTCAATTCTATCAGGAAAGCTGACGTTTCGGGCCTAGACCCTTCTTCAGAAATGGGGGGAGGGGAAGGGGATTCTGAAATAAATAGGGAGAGAGGGGGAGGCAGATAGAAGATGGATAAAGGAGAAGATAGGTGGAGAGGAGACAGACAGGTCAAAGAGGCGGGGATGGAGCCAGTAAAGGTGAATGTAGGTGGGGAGTTAGGGAGGGGATAGCTCGGTCCAGGGAGGACAGACAGGTCAAGGAGGCGGGATGAGGTTAGTAGGTAGGAGATGGGGGTGGGGCTTGAGGTGGGAGGAATGGTTAGGGAGGCGGGGACGAGCTGGGCTGGTTTTGGGATGCGGTCGGGGGAGGGGAGATTTTGAAGCTTGTGACGCCACTGAGGGTGAACGGTCAGTCCTCAGTAAAGGGCTCACCTTTGTCCCCCTCCACCCAAACATCAATGAATACAACTCACGTTTGGGCATTGAACAGTTTTTCTGCGGCCTCCGCCTCCGCGCTTACTTCTTTAATTGTGAGACTAACCCTCCCTCTACTGACCCCTTCTCCCGCCTCCAACACACCCCCTCCTCCTGGACACCACCCCAAGGCCTCCTACCCTCCCTTGACCTCTTCATCTCGAACTGCCATCGAGACATCAATCGCCTCAACCTCTCCACCCCTCTCACCCACTCCAACCTCTCCCTCGCAGAACGTGCAGCCCTCCGATCCCTCCGCTCCAATCCCAACCTCACCATAAAACCTGCGGACAAGGGAGGCGCAGTTGTAGTATGGTGCACTGACCTCTACATCGCCGAGGCCAGACGCCAGCTCTCCGACACCACCTCCTACTGCCCCCTTGATCATGACCCTACCCCCGACCACCAAACCATCAACAACCTCATCACTTCAGGTGACCTCCCACCCACAACCTCTAACCTCATTGTTCCCCAACCCCGCACCGCCCGTTTCTATCTCCTTCACAAAATCCACAAACCTGACTGCCCTGGTCGACCCATTGTCTCCGCCTGCTCCTGCCCCACCAAACTCATCTCCACTTATCTCGACTCCATTTTCTCCCCCTTGGTCCAGGAACTCCCCACCTACGTCCATGACACCACCCACGCCCTCCACCTCCTCCAAAACTTCCGATTCCCTGGTCCCCAACACCTCATCTTTACCATGGACGCCCAGTCCCTGTACACTCACAGTCCCCATGCAAATAGCCTAAAGGCCCTCCGCTTCTTCCCGTCCTGCAGGCCCGACCAGTCCCCCTCCACTGACACCCTCATCCGCTTAGCCAAACTCGTCCTCACCCTTAACAACTTCTCCTTCAATTCCTCCCACTTCCTACAGACAAAGGAGGTGGCCATGGGTATCCGCACAGGCCCAAGCTATGCCTGCCTCTTTGTAGGATACGTGGAACAATCCCTCTTCCAAAGCTACACTGGCCCTATCCCCCACCTCTTCCTCCGTTACATCGATGACTGTATTGGCGCCGCCTCGTGCTCCCACGAGGAGCTCGAACAGTTTATCCACTTCACTAACACCTTCCACTCCAACCTTAAGTTCACCTGGACCATCTCTGATACCTCTCTCTCCTTCCTGGACCTCTCTGTCTCCATCTCTGGCATCCACCTGGAAACCGATATCCATTTCAAGCCTACCGACTCCCACAGTTACCTAGAATACACCTCCTCTCACCCACCTTCCTGCAAAAAGGCCATCTCCTATTCCCAATTCCTTTGCCTCCACCGCATCTGCTCCCGGGATGAGGCATTCCACTCCTGGACATCCGAGATGTCCTCGTTTTTCAAGGACCGCAACTTCCCCTCCACAGTGGTCAAAAATGCCCTCGACCATGTCTCTCGCATTTCCCGCAACTCATCCCTCACACGCCCTACCCGCAATAAAAACCAAAACAGAATCCCCCTCGTCCTCCCTACCAACCTCTGAATCCAACGCATCATCCTCCGACACTTCCGCCATCTGCAATCTGACCCCACTAGCAAAGACATTTTTCCCTCCCCACCCTTATCTGCTTTCCAGAGGGACCACTCTCTCCGTGACTCCCTTGTCCGCTCCATACTCCCCTCCAGCCCCACCACCCCCGGCCCTTTTCCCTGCAACCGGAGCAAGTGCTACACCTGTCCCTACACCTCCCCCCTCACCCCCATCCCAGGCCCCAAGAAGACCTTCCACATTAAACAGATGTTCACCTGCACATCTGCTAATGTGGTATACTGCATCCGCTGTTCCTGTTGTGGCCTCCTCTACATCGGGGAAACCAAGCGGAGGCTTGGGGACTGCTTTGTGGAACACCTACGTTTGGTTCGCAACAAACAAGTACATCTCCCAGTCGCGAACCATTTCAACTCCACCTCCCACTCCTTGGACGACATGTCCATCCTGGGCCTCCTGCATTGCCACAATGATGCCACCCGAAAGCTGCAGGAACAGCATCTCATATTTCGCTTGGGAACCCTGCAGCCCAAGGGTATCAATGTGGACTTCACAAGCTTCAAAATCTCTCCTCTCCCTACCGCATCCCAAAACCAACCCAGCTCGTCCTCGCCTCCCTAACCATCCCTCCCACCTCAAGCCCCACCCCCATTTCCTACCCACTAACCTCATCCCGCCTCCTTGACCTGTCCGTCCTCCCTGGACTGACCTATCCCCTCCCTAACTCCCCACCTACATTCACCTTTACTGGCTCCAACCCCACCTCTTTGACCTGTCTGTCTCCTCTCCACCTATCTTCTCCTTTATCCATCTTCTATCTGCCTCCCCCTCTCTCCCTATTTATTTCAGATCCCCCTTCCCCTCCCCCATTTCTGAAGAAGGGTCTAGACCCGAAACGTCAGCTTTCCTGCTCCTCTGATGCTGCTTGGCCTGCTCTACACCTTATCTCAGATTCTCTAGCATTGGCAGTTCCTACTATCTCTGTCAATTCTATCAAATTGGCAAGATTGAATTGTCAGAATACACAAATAAGAGAAAAAAACTCCTGCTCGTATAATTTGCCTTCCACTAATGCAGACAATTAAGAGTTTTCCACTGTGTTGCAATCGCCACCACTTCCCCCACAGCTGCTGCAATACTACTGAAACAAAGGTTAAGCATATGAAGTTTATGTTTGCGCCATTAACTGCAAGATTTTTATTTAAATTTCTCATCCAGCATGCAAATTTTACTGAACCAAATGTTAAGACATCATAATTGCAAATTCAATCCATAAATATGCACCTATCTGAAACATTAAGCAGGTCAAGTTGTTGCGCAGGCTTCTTTTACTCATCTGGCCGCAATGCCTCGCAACCACAAATATATTAATTGTGAAATTATTTATCTTGCATTAGATACAGAACAATGCAACATAATGGGCACAGAACATACTGTCCTGTTAGTGCTGCTGGACAAAGTAACTAATGGTTTTAAGTTAAGTTATCTTTTGAGTACAGTAATTGATTCCAGTGACAAAGCATTTTGTAACATTGAAAATAGTTGACGAATATGTCAAGCCAACTGCTCTAGAACTACAGTCACACTTAATCTTCTGCTTAAGTTCAATCTTTGAGAACTATGCAAAACATATGTTATAATGAGAGATAGTTCATGGCTTTTGTTTCTGCCTATAAAGCATAGCTCTTATGAGTCTTGGAACAGCATGTGAAAGCACTGGCACAGTGGACAGCCCTGATAATGAAATGTGCTTAAATGACACTGAAATAGATGGGAAAGTAAATTGCAATGAAGAAATAAGAAATTTACAAATTGATATGGATAGGTCAGCTGAATGTGCCAAAATTCAGGGCAGACCAAGTTTAATGGAGATAACTGCGATCCATTTTGATCTATGAGAAAAAAAGCAACTTATTAGCTGAATGGAGAGAAACTGCAGAATGCTTTAGCGCAGAGGGATCTGGGTGTTCTCCTGCATGAATCACAGAAAACTAGTATGCAAGTTCAGTCAATAATAAAGAAGGTAAATAGAATTTTGCTATTTATTGCTAAAGGAATAGAATATAAAGCAGGGAAGTATTGCTGTGCAAGGTATTACCGAGACTGTAACTGGAGTACTGGGTACAGGTTTGGTCCTCTTACTTGGAGAAATGATGTAGTTGCATTAGAGGCGGTTCACCAGATTGATTCCAGAGATAAGGGGTTTGTCTTACAAACAGAGATGGAGCAACTTAGGCCTGTAGTCTGGAGAGTTGAGAAGAATGAAATGAGATCTGAGGTACAAAAGATGCTAAAGGAGATTGACAAAGTAGACATTGAGAGGATATTTTCCCTTGTGGGACAAGCTACAATGAAAGGTCATAGTTTTAGGGGAAACTGATTGGAGTGTGTGAGAGAACGAGAGCGAGAGGACAAATTACTTTGTTCAAAGAGTTGTGAATCTGTGGAATTCACTGACCCAGAGATAGATTTTGGGACACTGAGTAAATTTAAGGAGGAGATAATATTTTTGATTCGTAGTATGTCAATGGTTTAGCAGGCTGCAAAGCAGAGTTGCGACTGAGATGAGATCAGCCATAATAGTATTGAATGATGGAGCAGGCTCAAGGGCTGACTTGCCTACTCCTGCTCCTAGTTCTTATAGTCTATGAAAAGAACGGTTGCCAATACTCATTGTCATCTGGGATGTATTGGGTGGATTCGTCACCAATTTGACTTGTTGGTATTACTAAAGGTACAATATCAGGTGGGGAAGGATGCCCACATCACACCTTAGGCAGAAGAAGGTGTGCTCATTCTTGAGTAAAGAGCAAATTATACGGTAAATGGAAAAGCCCTGGGGAAAATTGATGCACAGAGAGATCTGGGTGTTCAGGTCCATTGTACCCCGAAGGTGGCAACGCAGGTCGATAGAGTGGTCAAGAAGGCATTCGGCATGCTTTCATTCATCGGACGGGGTATTGAGTACAAGAGTTGGCAGGTCATGTTACAGCTGTATAGGACTTTGGTTCGACCACATTTGGAATACTGCGTACAGTTCTGGTCGCCATATTACCAAAAGGATGTGGATGCTTTGGAGAGGGTGCAGAGGAGGTTCACCAAGATGTTGCCTGGTATGGAGGGCACTAGCTACGAAGAGAGGTTGAGTAGATTAGGATTATTTACATTAGAAAGACGGAGGTTGAGGGGGGACCTGATTGAGGTCTACAAAATCATGAGAGGTATAGACAGGGTGGATAGCAAGAAGCTTTTTCCCCCCAGAGTGGGGGACTCAATTACTAGGGGTCATGATTTCAAGGTGAGAGGGGAAAAGTTTAAGGGAGATATGCGTGGAAAGTTCTTTACGCAGAGGGTGGTGGGTGCCTGGAACGCGTTGCCAGCGGAGGTGGTAGAGGCGGGCACGATAGCGTCAGTTAAGATGTATCTAGACAGATACATGAATGGGCAGGGAGCAGAGGCATACAGATCCTTGGAAAATAGGCGACAGGTTTAGATAGAGGATCTGGATCGGCACAGGCTTGGAGGGCCGAAGGGCCTGTTCCTGTGCTGTAATTTTCTTTGTTCTTCGTTCTAAAGATTTAAAACAAATTAAAAATACTGCTTGTTGCATGAAAATTTATTTCAAGTGCTAGCCGTCATTTGGATGTTGCCATTCACTGCTCGTGTGGAAGGCTGACATTTTCTCCTGGCACAGGTAGACCCAATGTTCAATGCTGGCCAGCACTAGATTGGTGAAGAGAGACTCGGTCTTGAAGCAAAAGTAATAAAAATGATTTTGAAACAGTGCTTATGAAAATTTTTGGTATCTATGATTTTGTCAGTGCAACCAATAATTTGGATTTTGCCTCTTAAGGTAGACATCAAATCCAGATATGCTTATCAGTAAGTAAGGAAAGAAAAGAAATACATTCCTTTCCAAATAAAGAAATATCTGATCCTAGCAAAAGAATTTCAGAAAGAAACAAATCACCGCCCACTCATCCCAGTTACAGAAAATGACTTTTTCAGTGAGCTGACCTTAAGATTCCCATTTGTTAAAATGTCATTCTGATGGTTTCTCTTCAATTGCCAATGAGAGGTAGTGAAAAGGCTTATATTCCTCAAAAACTTGAAGACCAATATCCAAAGAAATGTTTTTGAATGTTATTGGAATGAAATAAACATCTCTCCACGTCTTTATGTTGGATGAGACTGAACTGCAAGAATACATTTTCAATGAACCATTGTGTAAAGATTGGAATACTACTTTTGGTTGCACTTTGTTGAAATTCCTTCAGAAGCATCACATTTTTTGATTATGCTCACAAGTATTAACACCAGCAAAATGATTGAAAAGAAGAAAGAAAATTATAGTCCATTACAACAAAGTGAGCAACAATAAATCAGAAACAAAATTTCTAAAATACAAACACTTCCAAGGTTTTAAACAGAACTAATAATCTGAAGAAGTTTTCTTTTAATATATGAGACAGATACAGAAAGGATGGGCAGCAAATTTGTTCAGTGCGATTTTAGCTAGCCACATCAAGTGCCGTTTACGAGAAATATTTTTCTGATGAAGTACAAATATGAAATGGTTTAGTGAAAGACCTCACTACAATTTTTGCGTGAGTTCTCAGGATTTTGGGAAAACAACACTTTTTTTATTGGTTGAGTCTTAAACTGTTTTGCAAGGACTGCTGTGGTCACTTAAAGCCCTGCCTTTGAACAGATGGTGTTTATCTCAAGAAACTTGGCGACTGCCTGCGTTTCCCATCCTTTGGCTCCAAGGTTGTTTGCTGGGCCATTTTGCTCTGAAGGTTACTCTATATGATGAGTAGAGATGAAAGGTGAGCAATACATGGATTGAATGGGCCGTCGTGGAGTGCAAAGTGCATAGCAATGATGGTTTCAATCGGCCTGTGGGTTTTTTGTCAGTGGAGGATATGTGGAGAAGGTGGTGTTTGAGAGGACAGTAAGCCATGGGAGAGATATAGAGCATAGGGCTCCAATTATGATGTGCATCATTACATTCAATTGACCGTCAACAAGATGTGAGAGAGATGAACTTTACTAGATTGGTGGACAGTTCTGTGCTGCAGAGAATGATAGGAGAAGTGCTGATGTCCTGAATGTCGTGCCAACAGTGTCCAACGTAGATCCAACAAGTTTGGTTAGATGATATCACTCACCAGTAAGGTCTCCCAAAAAGCAGTCTCAGTCGATACGAGGTTCTCTTTTTGCTGGGAAAGTGAAACATTTTTAATGTTAAATTCTTTCTCCACAGGGAAACTCTGTTGATGGAAATAACTTTTGCAAGAAGGGATCATTTTTAGCTGGCTTAAGGCCTCCTTTTCAAAAATAAAACAACTTTTTGGAGGATACTGTATGTTTGCTACCAAGTTGCTAGATGTCAAAACATGTCAATTGAAATTCTATAACTTTCAAAACTGAGCTCAGGCTAAACTGAGAACTTACTGACATAAACATACAAACATGCAGTAAAGTTAAAAAAAAACGCAATAGTAGTAGAATACTTATTTTCCTGATAAATAACTGACACAGATTCACCCATCCTTACAAAAGTTGTTAAATAAATTAAATAATATTTCCTGAGAAATTTTGAACTAAAGCTTGTAATTGAAGCAATTACTTAATGCAATATGAAACAATTGGTGTTTGAAGAGTAGCTCAGTGAAAATATACAAGAGTGCAAAGACTATTAGTCTATTGTTTTATAAGTACTGGTTTCAATCTGTTTAAATGGGTTTGGTTGACAACTGTTGATTCTTTAAAAGTTTAAAGTTATTCTAAGAGTGGATGGATGGAAGGTGGAGCATACTCCCTGACAGACCAGTTTTTCAAGTAGAGTTTTTTTTATATCTTATTTGGCTTGTAGATATTTGAACAACAAGAAGCCAAAATTCATTTCGTGTTTAGCTTTTCAACCCATCTTATTGCGTGAGGATTGAAGTAAGCCACATTCTTGCTACTGAAATGTTTCAAAAATACGTTTATGCCTCTTCTTCAAATATTTATGAATGCAGTCACTACAATACTGAAGCTACAAACTATGATAAACCATAATTAATTGATGACTTAGACTCCCTACAGTGTGGAAACAGGCCCTTCGGCGCAACAAGTCCACACTGACTCTCACAGCATCCCACCCAGACACATCCCCCTATAACCCACCTAATCTAGACATCCCTGAACACGATGGGCAATTTAGCATGGCCAATCCACCTACCCTGCACATCTTTGGACAGTGGGAGGAAACCGGAGCACCCGAAGGAAACCCATGCAGACACGGGGAGAATGTGCAAACTCCATATAGACAGTCGCCCGAGAGTGGAATCGAACCCAGGCCCCTGGTGCTGTGAAGCAGCAGTGCTAACCACTGAGCCATCGTGCCACCCTAGGATAATTGCAAAAGTTCAGTAAATGGCAACCCCGACCTCCGGTCAAATGAAATTACGAAAATTAGAATGGGATAAAGATTTATTCTACACTTCTCACGTTTTGTACTTCAATCAGTTTTCATAAATTTTGATCAAGGGAAATAGTCAACAATGAATAGTACAGTGCTACATTATATTCCACTCGCTCATTCTGGCCAATAATTCAGAATTGAAAGAGTGAATAAAAGCAACATTTGAAAGAAACAAAGCAAATCTTCAATAGTTTACTTTAACACCCCAATTAAATAGCAAGTAATCGTATTGAAATACAGGCACCTTATATCTGATAATAAGCAAAGGCTCCAAAAAGACCATTCAACAGACCGTTATTTTTCTGCTCAATTTCTCATTATGGAACATGATGTCACACTGAACAGCCAAGGTACAAATTTGTCTCTTTGTTATGCAAGGTATTTTACTTTAAAAGATACTGAAGAAGATATGACAGGAAAGCACTGATTATTAAAGCTGGTATTCATATCTGATTAAATATTTTCTTTAATAATTAAGTACAGTGCATTAACATACAAACTTTACCTGCAAAAGGATCAGCATTTTACTACATAGCAGATTATGTATTATAGTCGTAAGTGTTTTTGTTGGCATCAAAGAGGAAGGAACAAAAGAGTCAGATTAATTTAGGCACTTCTTCCGGCTTTTTCAGCCAATGATCTATCCACGATGCAGTGTAAATTGGCCATATATGGACCTCTTGGAGGTAGGTACAGCCGTTACATAAAGGAATGTAAAGACATTTCATCACACCCCTCAGCTTAACTCGTTAGAATTTCCTCACTAAACTGTCAATTTCTTTTGTCTGATCATATTCATTTGAGGTACGGTGTGCAAGAGGAATGGGGTTAAGGATTTTTTGCCATAGGAACATGTACAGTTCATGTAGCCAACCTTGATTTAATTCAATGGCTTGATGGCATAGTAATGGTGTCTTTCTTCAGCCTTTAACTAAGAAGCTATGGCCAGATAATACAGTATTGAATACAATAAATCATAATGAGTTTGCAGTATGTCTTGTTATTGTTCTGCATATGGATCCATAATTTAATTTAAGCAAAAAAAATCCAGTTTATTCTATGATATAACACATAATAAGCTGAAGGACAGTCACAAAGTACGAGCAATCCGATTCAAATGACAAATGAGGAGGTTTAACAGTTGCAAATACTGCATGTGTCTTGAACATTACATGACTCATCAAATCAGTATTGACTAAATATAAAAGAGTAAAACTATAAGCATTACCCAATTCACACAGATAACAACACATTAGCAGAATTGTTTACCTTTTCTGCAAAGTAATTTGTTCATGTGCAGTGAAACATGGAAAAATTTGGTCACAGAAATTTGACTTGTTTGAACCCCCATTCTGCAAATATAAACCTACACACATACCAAAAGCTATGGCTCCTAACAGGGAAGTGCTAGCTAATTAGGCTTTATTTTTTGGTAAACGTTACAAAAGTGATAGAATTTCAGCCCCTAATAAGATTTAACTTTAGTTCACACTGAATTGGAATGATGCTGGATTCTTTTTACTGTAAGCACCATGAAATGAACAACACAGACCATACACCATAGTGTGAGGCAATAACTGCTTTATTGGGGTGGGCACAAAGAAGGAACGCACAGCAAAAAGCTCAGACCAGGTTATAAATCATTTGTGAAGTTCTTTTTTCTTTATTCTTAACGGGATGAGGGCATCGCTGACCAGGCAGCATTTATTGCCCATCCCTAATTGCCCAGAGGGCAATTCAGACTCCACCAAATTGCTGGGGTCTGGAGTCACATGTAGGCCAGACTAGGTGAGGATGGCAGTTTCCTTCCCTGAAGGACATTAGTGAACCAGATGGGTTTTTCCAACAATTGACAATGGTTTCACGGTCATCATTAGGTTCTTAATTCCAGATATTTTATTGAACTCAAATTCCACCATCTACCAAGGCAGGATTTGAACCCAGGTCCCCAGAATATCATCTGGGTCCCTGGATTAACAGTCCAGCGATAATACCACTAGGCCATCACTTACCTTACTTGTGAAGTTTGAGAAATTTATTTTCAACATGACTTCAATCCTTGGACGCATTACTGCTTCGGAAAGGCTAACTCAAGATCTCTTCTCAAGATTAACGGTTGCTTAAAATTTTAAGTTTTTGTGACCAGGTCCATTTTGGTAGACAATAATGGAACATCCAGCACTCAGACGTGTAATCTGATGAACAATACCATATCATGTAGCTCAATCCAAAAAAGGGATTAAACTGAAATATGAAAATACCAAATAGAACAGGAAAAGACCAGCTAGTACCTTAACACATTTCGGCTCTTAAATCTTCCAATTCTAGCTCTACTAAAAGGAAAAACAACAGGACTATAATTTTTAAAACTGCTAGCTGTCTAGGATTTGTTACTCATGGTTAACTGCTAACCTCAATTTGACACCAATGTTCACTCTAAAGTGTACACCACTGCTGCAGTGCATCAATCTGGAAGGTTCTTGTCATGCCACTCAAGTTGGTTTCCTTTTACAATACCATGTGCACAGCCAAGCAAAATAAAATTAAAGGCACTGAATGCTTAAAGTAACAGAATATGCACAACAATAATAAAACAGTTTAGAGGGTACATTGTTTTGACATTGAGGATCAAACTAGATTATGTACCAAAGTTCTGAGTTAATGATGAATTACTGAGATAGAGATGGGAATTACACTAAATGACCCTGTGCTTCAGTTGATAATGTGTGTTCAAGTCTAAAGGTCATGAGTGTAAGTTCCAGTGCATCTAATCTGGACTAGCACTTCAGTGCAGTACTGAAGGAATGCTGCACAGGCAGAAGTTCCAGATTGAGACGAGATGTTAAGCTCAATTACTTGTTCTAATGGGTGGAAAATACCCACGGTATGAACTACAAAAACAGCATGGAGTTCTCGCCAGGTCCTGGTCAATAGTCAGCAGAATTAAAACAACAAAATGAAACGCCACCTTGCTTTACTCCTGGCTTATGAGATCTTCCTGTGTGCAACTTAGCTGCTTTTTAAAAATAGATTTGTGGGATATTGGTGTTGCTGGTCAATGGTGAATTTTGGATGAAAGATGAAATTATTTTAAGTGATAATCAAGCACTAATTAGGGTACTCCCTTTTACTATATGGCAGTTTATTTTAATTAAAAGTTTATTTTTACATTCAGGGGTTAAATTAATTTGGTAAGATTATAGGAGTTTCAAAGAAATTGTGCATGCTCATATATTGACAACTAAAAGCTGATACAGAGATATAAAAAAGTAATAAAATGTTAGCCTTTATTTAAAGGAGTTTTGAATTCAAAAGTGAAGAAATATTTTTCAGTTGGACAGTGCCTTGGTCTGCTCATATAGAGAACAATGTAAAGACCAAATTTTTCTTTTTTTTTATTATTGTGAATCAAAATGGGAAAAGGACTATTTTAAAAACCAAAGACTGCGGAACCTTTAAGAATCAAGGTAACAGCATTTAGCTTTTGTGACAACTCTGGGTATAGTGTGACATAATTTCAAGATTGCTACCCCAGTTAGATGGGGCAGCAGCATTCCATTTTGGCACCAAACCTCCTGAAAATCTGCAAGATAAATTCAGGAGACTACTAGGAATTACAAGTTTCAATGATGTGAGTAATTTATATTAACGTGCCTTTCTTCTGGAGTTCAAAAGATTTTGACTGATTCATTATTGATATCTGGAAAATGATATGAAATGCACTTTCACAGACACACAGAAACTATTCCCT